ACTCTCTTCGTCTTTGGTAACGAGGTGTTGTTTCAGAGATTACTTCACGTTAAGTGGAGACATTGTGCAGATCTGAGTCTACTTGTGCTTCAATGTCTGTTGAGTATCTTCCAGTCTGGGTTCATTACATATGTATCTATTCGTAATTTTTTCTAACTTGCCCGTCGAATAAGAACTGTTTTTTTTTTTTTTTTTTTTTTTTTTTTTAGGAACTGAAGCAATGTTCTCCACAATGGAAAGATTTCTTCTCTTGACAAAAAAAGAATGTGAACCGCAAACAACCCATGGATAAGTGCCACCACAGAATTCCTTACAGAATCTGAGGAGTGGTCGAGCGTTAGCGCCGGTGTGGTAAGCGCTACCGTTCCGCACGATTTAGCCCCTAGCTTCGTCCAGTTTCGCCGCTCCCAGCAGGAACCCGCGGCGCGAGCGTCCTCCTCTTTCGAACTCGTGAGACGGTGGCGGGAAGGAGAGTGAGGGGCGAATACGCGTTTTGCCACGCCACACCACGCCTTAGGGCGCCCCCACCCCCCCAAAGGACACAACAGGCAAGCAAAAACAAGGGAGAAAAGGGGGAGAAGGAGGAAAGGGACCCTAGAGAAAGAAAAGGAGAGGGGGAATGACCTGCGAATAGGAAAAGACAAAGAAGCAAGGAGAGAGAAGGAATGAGGGGAGGCTTAACACATTTCCAATCAAAGGAAAAGGACACTCGAGGCAAATAAGGAAACAACACGGCGAAGAGGAAAAGATGTTGCAGCACTCATGCCATCATCACGACCCACAAGGTTAGAGCATCCCCTCGCGGAAACCAAGGTAAGAACGAAAGACCCTCTTCTCGAACCCCATCAGGCGCAAGGGACAAAGGGCAGGGACAACGACAAGACAACGCAAGAACGACAACCATCCGCGAAACCAAAGGACGTTCGAACGGAACGAGTAATCATACCAAGCCTTCAGACCAGCTAGGGCATAATTTAGTATGACAAGAACACGGTAGATCCAACACAATGAGCGCTTATTTGCCATAGTTCGAAATAAGACTCCATTCAGAAGGGCCCCAGGACGAGCAAGAGCACCACTAGTTTTAGGAAAAATGAATGCTAGAGGCTAGGAACAAAGAGGAATAAGAATAACACAATTCAGGCACGACATCGAGCAACCGACAATCACCCACTCAACGATAAGCGAAAGAAGAAAAGAGACAAGAACGGAACTACGAAAAAGAGAAAAAACAAGCCACTAGTCAAGTAACCTATAGCAGGAAAGCAGAGAAAGGGACAACTAACCAACAGGGGAAGGAACCCACCGTAGAACTCGTCACCACAGGGATCAAATTCCTCAACCGCAAAACTCGACTCGTTACAATAGATTGAAGCAATTTAATCAATTTATATTTATTACCTAACTCAATTAATTATTACTTACAATAAGCAAGCTCACTATTCTTACCGCAATTTCAAGGATTGAATTGATTCGGCGGTAACCTTTAGTTTTTTTCAACAGAATGCAATATCTACGTTTTCACTCTTCACGATTCTTGTTTGGACTCATCCGCGAACCGTAAAACACACAACACTGGCCCGATCAAGAACGATTGTTCGAAGCAAATTTAATCAATTTATATTTATTACCTAATCCAATTAATTATTACTTACAACAAGAAAGCCTACTATTCTTACCGCAATTTCAAGGATTGAATCCATCCAGCGGTGACTTTTTGCTTTTTCAAATACAGTGCGTTATTTACTTTTTCGCTCTTCACGATTCTTGTTTGGACTGGGCCGCGCTCTGTTAATCACACAACACTGGCCCGACGAAGTCATGCGAGGTTGTTTTTCTTCGCGTCTATTTTCCCACCTTGATCAATTAAATTCCTTCTTCACCCCACTGTCGTCCCCCAACTAGTCATCTGATCGGCTGAGCAGCAGATCGCACTCTATCCTGAAATACCCCGATCCCCAAGTGGAAGGGAAAACTTTGCCAATTTTTTTTCGAATCACAGGGCTTGCAAACCACTTTAGTTTCACCTTGATCAGTCAAGTTCCTTCGACGCCTCACAATCAACCCTTAACTAGTCATTTGATTGGCTCAATAGCAGCTCACACTCGGTCCGAACATCAACCCCTTCCCCCAAGGGGGGAGAGAAAACTCTGCCATTTTGCTCCAGAATTTCTATCTAGACCACAAACGGGAGGGGGAAGGCGAAGATGGACCCAGAGGTCACAATGGAAGGGATGGGAATTGAGACTCAAAATTGGTTAGCAAAGCAAACCAAAACCGAGTTAGTGAAAACGGGGAAATTCGTGGAAGTAGAGAAGAACAAAAGAGAAGAAGCAGTGGTCTACGAATATCCGAAGGACCATTCAGAAATTGGACGAGTTTCATGAAAAGCATTCAGACGAGGGCGGCAAGACGAGATGGGGTACTCTATGCAAACGGAGAGGGGTGATACCCTATGTCGGAGTTGAGGTACCGCACTCGCGACGGTTGAACTGTACTTGAGGTATGGGATAGAACTTTACCGATGGTAACAGTTGAGAGACCACTTTTGGGAAAGAGGCCGGTAAGGAGCTTGCATCTTTTGTATTTGTATCCCCCTTTGTAAAGCTGATTGAGATATAAGTTGTTGGGCAAGGTCAGGATTGTAGTCTATTCCCACCTTCCACCTAAGTCCACACGAGTGAGTGAAGACCACGAGAGAAAGAGATAGAGGTCAACTTTAAATGGAACCCAGAAAATGGACATAGGTGAAGGGGACCGTTTAGGGGTATCTAAGGAAGGATAGAGTTTGGGAATGGGGAGGTAGACTAGGCTAGACCTTGATGAGGGGTCTGAAATATTCTCATCCAGGATGTAGGCTGATTGGACCCAAGAACCGGGGTCGGTGCTTGGTTGTGAAAAATAGGGATCGGGTGCTGAAACCAAGATGGCGCGGTAGCTATCGTCCCCAATCTATTCCAGCGGACCGAAAATGCCAATAGATGCGAAGGACGGGGTATCCGTCATTCTATCGGAAGAAGGGACCTAGACAGATCTAGAGCCGGTATACCAAACCGTGATATTGGGTGAAGGGGACGCCTTCCTTTGGATAGAAATGTTGTGGACCAAGGTCAACCTAACCCGGCAAACGCCAAGCTCGATGATGAATCTACTTGTCCAAGGAAGGAGAGAACGCAATGGTTGTGGACTTGGCGTTAGGGGTAGTCCCGTACAAATTGTTTAGGCGGGCGAAACTGGAAGCAGCTTTGGCGGCATGTCAGCGGGAAGAGATTGAAATGGATAAGATAGACGTACGGGTGGAATTCGGGGACAGGGGAAACGTAAGGCGGCCACTTAGAACGATGAGGTGCGTCCTGCCTCCGTTCCTGGTGGATGTGGTCTCCGGAAACGGAAGTAGGCTGATGGGGATATGTCAGTCCATGACGAACCTTAGGCTGTACCAAGGGGCCCGACGAGACTTCTTTCGTCTATAGGTTGAAATGGGGCCCTTTGAAGGGAATTGGGCGAGAGAGCTAACCGAGATACTAAATTGTCTCAGCACGGACAATGTGTTCGTCCCAAGCCCCGTCCATTGGAGAATAATCTACAAAAATGTAGCGATAGGGGAAACATTTTTTGATGGGCTAAAGGATCTATTGTATGAGGAAGAAAACGATATCACCGATGAGGAGGAAGATGATGCAATTGAGGACTAAGACGTTTAAGGAATGGGTTCGTGGGAAGGAATGATATGGGTGGTCGGCACTGTGCAAGGGACAAGCATGGCTAGGGAACAACGCTTCAACGATTGGATGTTTAGGGGATGGAGACCGAGGCGGCTCGGAGGATAATAAAAATGACCTTGCCAACGAGTAACGAGTGGAGAGGGACGACATGTGACTGGGTACGGGAGGAGATCGCATCGGAACTATCATTCCTATGGGTAGAAAGGGTATGGAACCCCTTGAGAGAGGAAAAAGGATGGGATGACATAGCCAAAGGGAATGTAGAATCCCCTGGGACGATGTACCTATCGAAAAAGGGTTGGCATCTGTTCTGCATAACACTAGCTTCCAGGCAAAACCCAATGTGGATTTTGGGGGAGGCCAAGCAATGGACTCGCGATATGGCACAAGGATTTGCCAACGAAGGATGGGATGAAATAAACAGCAGCGTCATAATAGGAGGATGGGAGGAGCTTAGGCTGCCGTACCAGCTAGTCCAAACCTGGGTACTGCACTTTGTGGCGGATTGATTCGGTGGATATGAACACGTCTACGCGGTGGTGGAATCCTTGGACGAAGTAGACCTGGGCTCCTCGTGGCTGGTCGATGCCTACTATCATATCTCGCTAGAAGTAGGACCCTTCCATGGCGATAGAGCAAAAAACGTCGTCGACATCTTGAAAGTTATTAAGGACGACCGGATTGAGGTGGACGACAGAACCGAGGATGCGATACTTCGCTGCGAGGTGGTGACCACCCCCTCGTATGTAGGCAACGTATTTCTACTGTTTGAAGTCTTATGGTTCTAGTCAGAAGTGCGGCCCCCTAAAACAGGAAGGGCGCCAACAACAGGCGGGTAGGGAAAAGTTGTAGTAAGTACAGAATAAGAACCAAGATCTGAAATGGGTGTACGATAGGAGGAAGACTACCATTGCAAGGATTAAAGGACTGAATCTAGGAAGCATGAAATTTCGGTGGATGCGGTAGTCGACCGGAAGAAAGCGAGAAGGGAGACACCACGAGATGGCTCGAAGAATGACACTTTGGGAAGACAGACCCCATGCGATTTTGCCGCCAAGCGAGTTAGATGGCAGGGTAGAGATAAGTATGCCGACAAGGAATGGGGTAAGCAACCCGGTAATGGACTGGGTGGGAGTAGAGTTGGTGGAAGACACGGTGTATTTAGCATTGGAGTTGGAATGGCATGCAAGGGGGGAGTTTGGGTGTGAACTTGGACCTTTGGGGACGCGTACATGCCAAGGGATGGTTATACCTATCGGAAGAAGGGTGGCGCACCTTTGGGATCACCTTGGTATCCGGGGGCAACCCCGTGCGAATGTTTGAAGGGGCTTGGCAGATAACATGGCGAGAGGGGTTCAAATTTGCGAATCCCGAGCAAATCGACGTCACGACTGAAGTAACAACCATCATGGCACGAACCTTCACTCTGCCAAACGAAATCGTGCGAATAAGATTGTCGCCCTTCCTGTTGGGATGGATGGGAGGTGCGAAATGAGTTGAGCAGGCGGTAGCTCCACCAACTAGACTAAGCTTTGAGGAAACCATGCTATATCAAAAATACTATCGGGCCTTCATGGAGATGGGGGCATTTGAGGATGAGCAGGGGATGAAGTGCTACGCATCCTGCACGCAACTGTGACAACGAGACCAAGGATTCCGCTAATAGGCGATGAGACTATGTGGGGAGTCGTTAGGCGTAAAGTAAGTTGTGGAATGACCTACATAGACGATGTCTATCGATTATTCGAGTTGCTAGAGGAGGAGGTAATCCAATAAGAAGGAAATAAAACAAGGGTCACAAAAGAACAGGGTAGGAGGAGGACAACTACCGAAGTCTGGGGTCATAAGGGAAGTAGCAGGTATTTATTTTCTTTCTGAACCATGCAGGAATCCACCAACCAACGACGGCAACAAGGCGCACCCTAACGTCGCGGCGACCCATGCACCCTCCCCCGCCCACAGAGAGCGGTAACGGGTAAGAGGTGTCGCTCCCAGCAAGCTACGAGGTTCGATGGATTGCCATGGAATGGCGAGTTGTGACCTTGGGAAGGAACCAAACCTTCATGATGGTGGAATGCCAATGGAGTGGCATGAGATTTAATATAGGGCCAAAAGATGATTTGTACACCGATCTAAGGGTAACCGAATTGTATCTACCGGAGATTGGGTGGCAAATGTTAGGGACCGAGATGGCGTTGGGGCATGGGTTACTGTCGATCTTTCAAAGAGCGGCCCGGGCATTGGCCCGAATAGGCCAGGAGTTTCGGGGAAGAAGGAATGTAGGGCTGAGGACTCGGGTGGAGGTAGGAGGATGGCGATAATTTAGAGCCCCGACAACTAGGTTGCGGTGTCAAGTACCCCGTTTCATTATAACTGTCTCTTATACACATCTAGATGTGTATAAGAGACAGGTCAAGTACCCCGTTTCATTATAGACTTGGTATTGTGAAGCCTCCCGAGCACAAGAGACCTAGTGAATGTGACCTTAATCTGGGTACAACATTTCCAGCCGCAGACAACAGGAATGTTTTACGATGTGTCGGTAAAACACGGGTCGTTTTGGGGAAATAGGGTATAGGAGTTGCTAGAACTCATCAATATTTTGATATTCGGGACACCACGACTGGCTTATGAGGAATACAAGCCGATAATTATTAGGGAAATGGAAATGGGGGAGAACTACCTTGCAGGGGTGGCTAGACTGTTCGAGGAACCGCTACGCGCTACGCGGGACGAACCCAAGGAACTAGTGTGAGAAAACGCCATGGATGTCGCCCAATGAGAGAAGATTAGCAATGAATTGCCAAGCGGAAGTGATAATAATAATCTTCGAGAGATAGCGGTTGGAGTCCTACTCTATCTAAGAAGGGATCGGGACAGGACCAGGATGGCTGCTACCACCAAGGGCGGTAGAAGTGTCCAAGGGCAAAAAAGAAAAAGGTCGTCCCCAAAATAGGAACCCACTCCGCCGTGGACATGCCGCCTTAGAATCCAAGGAGCAGTGATGTCGAAACGCCGACCCAAAGCAACAGGTTTTCCAAAGGGAAGGCGAGTGATACCCCGCAAACCAAAAAGGGGGGCATACCTGTTATGGCCACTATGAAATGGCAAAGATGGAGAGGCTAAGAAACCAACAATAAGCCTTGGGACCTAGAAATCCTAAGAACCTTGGGCGGTCTGCCACCCCGAAAAAAAAAAATTCCTGCAGGATTAGAGAAGGATGGCGACTGCGGAAGAAGCAGGGAGTCTACGAAGCAAGGGAAGTCAGAGCATAGAAAAGGATGTAGAACAGAACGAAGGGACCGTGAGGGGGAGTCGACAAATCAGGAAGGTACTAAGGAAGGAAGAAAGGAAGTTGCGACCGGGGAAAGCTCAGGAAAAGCCAGAGGAAACAAACGAGCGACCCAGGAAACTGGGGGAGATAGGGATGAAGGCAGCCCGACGCCACGAGCATCGGAAGGCGCACTGTCAAAGAAGGTAAGGCTAACGGACGCTCGGAAGAAGTTAGCCGAGATAGAAAGAAGGACGACAAAATACAAAGCAAAATTGATGGAAGAAATTATGAATGAGAGTGAGGGAGATTTCACCGGAGAAAGGCCGCGCGAGGAGCAAGGGGTAAAGCAGGGACGATGGGGCCGGGATAATACCATACAAAGGAGAAATGATAGGATTAGGGAGAGCAAAGTGACGCCGACTAAGAAAGGAAACGAGACAACGGGATCTCCGGGAAGGGAGGCGGAGAAGGCCAGTAACCCACCTGCCATAGACAGCAGGGCAAGCCAACCAGCGGCCGCACCTATGATTGCGAGAGGATGTGAGGGGCTTTGGAGCTTAAGAGAGAGGGTGCTGGGATGGTTTGACCTTGAAGGAACGACAAAGGTCAGAGAAGGGTTGGAAGCCGATAGGGAAGGACAAGGATCTGGCGCCGCCAGCGAAACAGGGGGATCCGAAGGAGGGCTTAGAAAAATGGTGTCGTCCCTCACACGAGCGCTAAACAAAAACCAGGGGTACCTGGCTAATGCCAAGAAGAAGCCGAAGTTCGACGGGGCAAATATCACGAAGTTCTTGATAGATTACGAGAACTTGCAGCACTACTGAGGTGGAGTGAGGAAGAGAAAATGGACCACCTAGGGCAACATGTATCGCTGAACTTAGGAAGGGAGATAATGGCTATCGTCGCGGCCAACGGATCCTGGAAGGAAGCCCAGGGCGTAATGATGAGGAAATATCTGGCAGCCGAGAAAATGGCTACGGAGACAGAGTTGGTTGCGGTGCAAAGGAAAAATTTTGCAACGTATAACGATTTCCTGAGAGAACTCACCCTCTTGGCGTTGCGGATCCCGGGGGTGACAGACCTCATAATGAACAAGTATTTCCTTAGTCAGTTCATCGAGTTCGATAAAGATAAGATCTATCGGCTTACCTGCAGACCACAAAGTTCATGAATACAAGGGACGTGGACTTCAGCACTGTAACAGACATTGCCGAAAAGATGGTGGTAACCGACTCCTTGGCTCTACTGAAGGAGGCAGAGGTCATAGACTTAACTGGCAAGACGGGGGATAAGGTGAAAAAAGGGATAGAGAGTCTGCATGATCGCGTCCATGGGGTAGATGGCAAGATCGAGAGAGTGAAGAACGCATTAATGGTAATGCAAGCCCAGGCGGCGCAAACCTAGGTAGCCCGACCCCCTCTCCCACCGCAAGTAGTTGTGGCCCCAGCGGGAATAGCTAACCGAGGGTTCAACAGGAAAGACCCGACCAGTGAACAGTGCAGATATTGCACGTTGATCGAACACTTTGCGCAAGCATGCCCAAATCTCAACCATGATATCATGCAAAAGGGATGCTCTAGGACGCTACGAGGGAAAATCATAAGCCCCCGAGGATAGAAAGCGAATTGGAGCTCCCCAAGAGGGATGCGCCGGGCCATAATTGCACTTAACAATCTTGACGTCGCCACAGTAGAAGCGGAGCCAAAACTCGCTTGGGAACAGGCACGAGGACGCGGGCCGTAGGCTAACTTTATTTTAGAGAATGATGGGCGAGATAGGGTGAATGTGACCACAAGGCAGTGAGCGACAGAAAGGAAGGTCGTGCAAGACGCAGTTATGGAGGACGCAAGGGATGGGCCGGGGCGCCACAGGAAACGGAGGCGCAAGAGCAAGAGAAGGTTTACGGGAAACCTAGAGAAGAGGCCCCGATAGACAAAGCGACCTCGACCAAAAAAAAATTCCCGTCTCAGATCCCTATTCTGACTATGCCCGAGATCAATGACACCCTTAGCAAACTGCTAGGGACCATGGTGTCAGTCTCATTCCGGACCGTGTTGCAGGCGAGCCCTGGGCTCCCAAAAGGCCTTAAACAACTGGTGACAAGACGAAGAGTAGAGATAGAGGAGGGATCGGAACAACAGGAAGAAGAGAAGGAAGAGAAGGCACCGCGAGAAGTCGCCAACCTCCAAAGGATTCCCAGGGACTTGGAAGACCTAGAGAAGGCTTTCACAGACAACCGTTTAAGTCTGCCAAATCGCGAAGGTGGCGAAGTTATGAAGGCGCCACCAGGAACAAAGCTTAGTTTTCATGCGCTGCCTGTGGGCAAGTTGAAAGTGCAGATCGAAAGCCAGCACACAGATGCGTTGGTGGACGGAGGGGCGGAAATCACGCTCATTAGGAGGGACTTGCAAAGATTACGGGATGCGGAGTGAACAAAGAGACAACCGAAAGCATCCGCGGGGCAGATGGGGAAATCCCCTTCTCCCGGTATGTTACTAAGTGTGCAATAAAGGTCAGGGTTAGGTAGTCAATTTGGTCGCTCCAGCGAATGACCGTCACGGACGAAATGGACCATGACATAATCCTTGGAAGACCTTGGTGCGCAAATGTGGAGATGATAGGGATGCACTTGCATGATGGGACATACATGGTAGACATAAAAGACCCAGTGACAGGACGTGGTGAGTTGCTCCGTCTCATCGGGACACGGGGTGACACACCGAAGGGGAAATTAGCAACATGGTCACCATCATTCGAGGAAAGTGCCAGAAAGGGGGCCTTCACGCGAATGGAAGGAATGAGAGAGAGGGTAGAGATCATGATCGAGGAAACATTCAGCAAGAAAGAGTGGGTCAAAATGGGATTGTCGCAAAAGAAGCGGAGACAGGAGGACGATGCTTTGGGCGTAATGCTAGTAGAAAAGAAACAGAGGTCGAATTGGGGGTCAGTTTGCCCAGACCAAAAGAGGCTCGAGATGAGGAATCCGAGATAACCCTTGAAGTCCCTGACTTACTGCACCTCGTTAGAGCTATCAGGTACCATATCGTAGGTGTGGATTCAGTTGCGCTCGCTAGGTTCAAGAGAGATGTCCGAAAGGGAAAATTTTTGAAATGCCCCTCAAGTTTGCATTAATTTGCGATTTGCCCCTCCGACGACCGACTTACCCTGATTTGCCCCTGGGCCTCTGAACTTTCAAACAGACTCCTGTTAGTGAGGGGCACAACTTTTTGGAATGCCCCTACAGGACCGGTGGTCCTATTTCCCCTGCTGCCTGTCCGATTTGCCCTTCTGTGGGGGGAGCATCTTCCTGAGATGCCCTCCAGGGGGGAGGCCTAAGAATTTGAATTCCAAACCCATACTTTTCCAAGTCGCCGCGCAAAAAAAAAGGCTGCAGACCATGTTGTGTCCGCTGCTGCAATCCACCGTGTAGTGCATTCTTCAGCTATTGCGACCCGCCGCTGCCTTGGACGTCCGCAGAGTACGCTGGCTAAGGTCAGTTTTCCTCCCCTTGTTCCACGCCTGTGTGTGTGTGTGTGTGTGTGTGTGTGTGTGTCTCTCTCTCTCTCTCACACACGCACGCACACACACACACACACACATGTGGAAGCGTATAGTGTATATTTCCATGTTCTAGCGGTATATTCATTCGATCTTGCTTATCCTATCGATGGACGTACCATGAGGCCAGCCACGAGGTTGGAGACCTACCTGTTCTCTCTCTCTCTCTCTCTCTCTCTCTCTCTCTCTCTCTCTCTCTCTCTCTCTCTCACACACACACACAC